CATACAATACATTTTGGTGCCATTATCTTGTCCAGTGACCACCAGAAGCATCCGTACATTTAATCTAATTTATGTGTGAACGTACTAATTGTGATCCTCTTTTACGCAATTTAATTCTCCTCAACCTGAACTGTACTATTTCCGCCCGTTAGTGCGTGTTTACGTTAGACGAGTAAAACAGCTTTTGGATGACATCAGCGCGTGAATTCTAAAGAAAAGTCTGTTCACCTTTTATTCAATTGTCTTCCCAAAACACCACCGTAATTGTCATCACCACCAACGTTTGAACCAGCCACTACCAAAGCAGCCCACTCATGTAAGCGATGTGAACTCCCCTTAGGTAATGCGCACACAGGCGCTACTGTTTGCAATTAAGTGCATTGCTTTTGTGCATTCAGGCACAAACGTGTCCCCAATCTCGCTTGCACTGCGACAATGACATCGTAAAAAATTTGAGCACTGCTGATCAGACAAAGCATCTAAATGACAGACTGTAGCAGCAACAGCAACAGTTTCTGTTGACAGACGATAAAATATCAATGTAGGCTGTTTTGTTATTGTTCTCTGTTCTCGAGTCTGTTTGGATTTGATAGAAAAAACGGAGAATGATGTGAAACAGTGAAAATTAGTAGCAGAGCAGTGTTGCTGATGCTGTCGAAGCCGATTACCAGCCCACTACTCGTCAATATTTGTTCTTAAAGCTTCCGAGTGTGAACAGCCTACTCTAAAATCTTTACCAAATTTTACGATGATCTGATTAGAAAGGGGAAAGAGAAAAAATGTTGAGTTACATGACAAAAAAGAAGTAAAAGCATTTGAAGCGTTCATTGACTGCTGTTGCTGTCGCTGATGTTGTTTTTGTTGAAGTTTTGCAGACTTATTTTTGTTGACACTGATGCAAATGTGTCTGTTTGTGTGTTCTCGTCGTATATCGAACGACATCAATTTGCGACTTTTGATAAGTGCTAAAAGATGAGAGTAAAAGCANCAAATGTGTCTGTTTGTGTGTTCTCGTCGTATATCGAACGACATCAATTTGCGACTTTTGATAAGTGCTAAAAGATGAGAGTAAAAGCAAGGGAATTTTTCCCAGTTTTCTCAGTCAAAGGTATTGCTATTATTTTTTGCTACTTTTTTTATTGTGCTGACGGCAACGTGCAAATGTTCAACAACAATTCAGTGTATGTGTTNAAGGGAATTTTTCCCAGTTTTCTCAGTCAAAGGTATTGCTATTATTTTTTTGCTACTTCTTTTTTCATTGTGCTGACGGCAACGTGCAAATGTTCAACAACAATTCAGTGTATGTGTTTTCCGTCTCTTTTTATTCTTTCCTTCTCAATTTCGGCCAAGCAAATCAAAAGCGACGGGTAGACGGCGCATACAAATGAGCTCTTTCGCTGGTTTTAGGGTTTTTCAGTGTGCCTGTGTGTTTGTGTGTTATTTGAGCGAGCATCGTGCTTATTGAAAATGGCAAATCACAATTGCACTACTCGCGTCCACAAGGTAATAATAAAAATGAGTTTTTTCATAGCAAAAATGGGTAGTGTGAATTCAGAGCACTCTAATGAATTCCAGTGAAGTTTGTGTAAGAAAATGTCAATGACACGGTGATCAAATCAGCTGCTGCGGCTGAATTCAATGATGATGATGAGCAGCGGACAAAAAATGGCGAAAAAGTGCAAATAGCGTACTTTTGTTATGTTTATTGAATCTTCTTTTCTTTCTTTCTTCTTTTTCTTCTACATTTTTAACAGAGGTGATTCGATGTCTTCCTCGGTACAGCGGAAAGCCCTCACTTAGAAGAACTCATCACGTACTGCAGATAAAAAACTACAGAACTTTTACCACTTCAGCTAATCAATAAGCCCGGGCCCAGCAGCTCTTGGCACACCAGTACTTAAAACTTGAATCCCTTCACTACTTCATTCTATTTGTGCAGAGTACAATGGGAACAGTTGAAAGTGAGTACCACCTCCAGCGACGAGGACGACAATTACCGTACAGTTTGCCAGTGAGGGGGCAGCTGAGAAAGAAGCTAATAATGACGGATGATCAATTGAGTGAGTGCAGCCGGTGCACATGTACGACTGCCACCGCCACCGCCACTACCAACACTTTCATAAACATCACCACCATCACCACCACTGCTACCACCGCCGCCGTCGATCGCCATCAATCAATAACAATCAAATCAACATCAGATGCTGTTCAACAACCTTCTCACCACACCACTTCTACTACTTCTGTCACCCTTCAGCCGCGCAGAAGTCGTCTAAATAAGTTCTCTCGTTCTGCCACAGGTAGATGCCGTGTGCGCAAAGAGAATGCCCTCAGAGAGTGCACCAAACAATTCAATTCACGGCCACTGACCGCCGGAAGATACTTCCGAGCGGTGCCTTCACTTTTTCTGCTGATTCTCTCCACTGCCTTCCTTGCAGCTTCTCTCTCTCCTGTAAACTGTTTACCCAGTTCAAGGCAAAATGTCGTCATCAAAAGTTATAATCAGCAAGAAATAGTAGTAGCCCGGGGAGGAGGAGGAGGAGGAGAGGAGAATAGTGTCAACAAAGTTGACAGCGATCAACGAACCCACCGACTGACAGTGGGAAAGAACGACAACTGTAAGTGACCTCTCTTTTCTTTTTTTTGTTTGCTAGTCGTTTGTGGTGAAACAAAGACACCGAATCCTGCTGTGCGAATTCTGTTTGCTTTTAATCGGATAAACAAGGCAGAAGAGGCAGTTCTGGTGTCCGAAAAGACGTTGCCCTCTTCTTTCAGATGGCGGCTGTCCATCTTTTTTTCAAACGATTTTGTTTCACTCAAACAAAAAAACTATACAAATTTTAGAATGATAGTGAAAGTAGAAATTACTAATTCCTCACCAATGCTAGCACAGTTGAAACCATCAACAGTAGTTGAGTGCTTAAAAGCAACATCTGCAGCACCAGGCATTAAATTAAATTGAGCTAAGAAGGAGAAAGACTTTTTTAAAATCTTCTTTAACATAATGGCCTTGAGATAACCTTTTGCCCCCTTTTGAAAGATGGGGATTTGTTATTTTCCCCTACTTTTCCCCCATTTATCTAATGCAACAATAACAAGAAAAAGATAGTGAAAAGCTGAACCAACAACAGCAGCAGCAGCCTATGATAATAAATTTAAATAACACACTCACATAACAAATTGCTTTTAGATATTGACGACGGGAATGAGGAAGAAGGGGAGGTAAACAGTCTGAGCAGTAATGGTGGAAGCAACAAAGTGAACGCGGATTCAGTTGCCTTTGGGGCCCCAACGGCCCCATCAGGAACCACTGCATCTTCCACCTCTGCTTCAAGTGCAAAGCCACCGACGACGACGACGACGACGGTGAAGCCGACAACAGCCAATACGACTGATGACGCGGACAAGCACGTTTGCCGTACTGACAAATGCATCGACGCCAGTAAGTGCCCTGCTTTTTCTTTCTTCTGTAAAAAAACTTTGATCTTGCTTTTGTTTCTACAAACTATACTTTTTCTTTTGTTTTTACTACTTTTTATTCAATTTTTCTGCAATGTCTACTGTTGTCGTTGTATGTGCTTTTTTGTTTGCCTCTCTTACACTTTTATTGAATTTTATATTTCACTCTCCAGGCCGTTATCTGCTGAATTCACTTGACCTAGACGCCTCTCCCTGCGATGATTTCTACAAATTCGCTTGCGGCTCGTACCTGAAGGACCATCCCATTCCATTGCGCGTCAAATCGTGGAGCCACTTTGTAAAGGTCTTCTACGAGATTCGTGACAAGATCAAGGAGAAACTAAACAAGAATAAGAAAGAATTCCAGGCAGACACTAACAATAGCATGGTGTTCAGTAAACTGCACGATTTCTTTCATGGTTGTCTCGATAAGGGTAAGAGACGTAGCTAATTTTGTAGACAACAAATATCTTGCTAACAAAAAATATTTTTGCGCTGATTTTCAATATAGATCAACGGAACACCACTGGATATGGGTCGCTCTTCAGCCTTATCAAAGACATGGGCGGCTGGCCAATGGTGGAGCGAAACTGGAGCGAGGCATCCTTTCACTGGGAGAAAGCCTACGTGCAGATGACCAAGCTGGACATGTTCTACATTCTCCGCATTGAGGCGGTGACTGACCTGAAAAACCCAAACCGGACGCTGATCAAGATTGGCCCACCGTACAAGATCAAGGAGAACATTGTCGAGTTTGGCGGATACAACAAGGTTCCCTTCATGAGCGACAAGTACAAGTACACCTTTGTCGGCAGACGATCACAGGCAAAGGCTGAAGAAGTGCAAGCTGATTCGGATGGAATTGCACCAACTCAATCGCCGAAGAAAATCAAACTTGATCCGAACCTTGAAAAAAAGTACCTGGCCATCATCAAGGAGCTAAAGGATCACTCTGGTTTTCCAGCCTCTAACACTGATCAGGCGTACTGGGTCGAACAGTTGGAGGCAATCTCCACGTTGCAAGCTCAACTGGAAGATAGCGCTCAGCCGATTGTGCCCATGGAGGAGTACCAGGACGGCTACGAAAAGTACCTCTTCAACTTTACCCACTTGAAGGAGATACTTCACGGTGGTGGCTTCAATCTGACGCTGGTAATCGAGGACATGTTCACCAAGGAGATTGCCATGAGAAACGACCAGGAGTTTTTTGTGCCGGACATTGAGTACCTGAAGAAGGCCGCCGGTTTCATGGCAAAAACAAAAAGGGCCGTCATAGCGAACTACCTGATCACCAATATGGTCATGGCGGCGGCCAGTCACACCACTCCAAAGATGGTCAGTCTGCTGGTGACCGAGTCGATGACCGACCCTGAGGTGATGGGCAATATCTGCTACGAGGAGACCTCCCGCTACCTGCCAGAGCTGATGGGCAAGTTTTACCTGGACAAAGTGGCAAAACTGACCGGTGACTGGCGCCAAGAGCTGGACAGCATCATCGCCGCCCTGAGGGACGCCTTCAAGACCACACTGACGAAGAGCGAGTGGATGGACAAGGACACCATTGCAATGGCGTTGAAGAAACTGGAGCACATGTCAATGCACATTGGCTCACCGGACTGGTACTCCGTTAACGCGGAGTTTGAGAAGTACAGTCATGAGGTATTTGTGGAAGTCTAAAAATAGATAGACTTTTCAGTAACCATACAGTTTTTACGTGCAGTTTAACAAAATCAACCCTAAAAACTACTTCAGCTCGGTAATTGAGGTGACTAGAGTGGGCCAAAATCTGGAGAATCGCGATTTGACGGAGCGGCTGCACAGCAGCAGTGCTCAGCTGACAAGGTACGAAAGTGTTTTGACTTTCACAAAAAGCAAACCTAGTTAACAAGAGTGCACCTTTTCTCTTNAATTGAGGTGACTAGAGTGGGCCAAAATCTGGAGAATCGCGATTTGACGGAGCGGCTGCACAGCAGCAGTGCTCAGCTGACAAGGTACGAAAGTGTTTTGACTTTTACAAAAAACAAACCTAGCTAACAAGAGTGCACCTTTTCTCTTTTTATTTTCCATTTTATTCAGTTGGCCCGGTCACCGTAAAATAATCGACGTGAATGCCTTCTACTACTTCACTACCAATGGCGTCTGTAAGTACTCCTGATGACGGTGACTTTTTAAAAGCGGTTGTAATAAAAAGTATTTTTTCTTCATTTTTTGTCCTATTTGACCCTTTTCCAACTTCTTCATCATCATCTCTCATTTTCTTTTTCTTTGCTTTTTCGGTGCAACATTGCAGACATTCCAGGTTTGTCAATTAGAGTGGAAGATTGAGAGGCATTTTTGCCCCTCCCTAGACACAACAAAAAAACAAATAAAAGCCGCTAACTGTGATTTTTCTCTCTGTGCAGCGGCCATTCTGCAATCGCCTTTCTTCTACCAGGACGGCGTTCCAAAGTAAGTCTTATCAAATTTCCTTTTCCCATGTTTTAAATTTTTATTTTCTTCCTAAACATTCCATTACTCAAAACAACAAAACCCTTCTTTTTTTCTTTTTGTTGAAAAAACAGAGCCGTCACTTTTGGTTCAATGGGCATGATTCTCGGGCACGAGATGACGCATTCAATGGACAACAGTGGTGAGTTGTACTGGAAGAAATATAAAAGGAGATTTTTAAAAACAGACTAATTTTTTTAATTTGGTTTACCTTTTTTAGGTCGTCTGTACGACTTTGAGGGGGCTTTAAAAAAGTGGTGGAGTGACAAGACGCTGGCCAGTTTTCACCAGAAGACCAAGTGCTTTGTGGATCAGTACTCCGGCTACCAGGAACAGTCCATTCATATCGACGGCAATGCCACACTGGAGGAAAACATCGGTTAGTGACATTCTATTTTGTAGTAGCTTTTTGGTATTTTTAGATTTTGAGAAGACAGTTTGTAGGTAGACTGTGACTTGTGGGCTTTAAAAGACAGCTTTTGTGTGTGTGTTTGTGTGTGTGTGTGTGT